TGTGGCAATTGTGATAATTGTCAATGGGCTGTGGTGAATCTTTATTAAATACACATTCAAATATGGAAGTTATTATTTCCGAATAATATTTATTTGTGAATAGATTGCGTCTTTGTCTGAAGTTTCTCCTGAATCGAACCCCGCTGTTTTGTTATCTCCTTCATATCTTTATTCATTTGTTTCTGACGCTCCTCTAGTTTAGATTTCTTTTCTGTTGTTTGCTTAAACACATTCTCTATTATCTGAAGTAATTTCTGTGTTTCCTGCAGCAGTGTTTTATTTGCTTCCTTTCTCTTCTCCAGATCTGTTATGTTGTCTTGATACTTGTCAATTTTATATTGCATCCATGCACCGGACGATTTTACCTTATTATTATCAATCTGTTTCTCAATCCAATTAGATATCTGTTCAAGTTCTTCTCCATAGTTTTCTAGACCACTTTTACATTCTGTCAATACCTTAACTGCCTCTTTTACATCTTTTAATTCTACTTCAATCTTCTGTGATTCTTCAGACATTTCACCAATCTTCTTGTTCAAAACCTCAACCTCTCTCTCGTTTATTTTTCCTTCATCCAGGAACTGAAGTTCTGCACCGCTTTTAGATATTGTCTCTCTTTCCCCCACGTCAGTTTCATCGTCTTGGTGCCACTTGGTCCCTGTATGAATGCAGGAGTGTTAAATAGTGTTAAATGTATTTCAAACCTGATTTGTTCAATTAAATTAAAAAGACACTGAAACACAGCAGAAATACAGTAAGTTTGCATTCAGTCATTAAAATAAATTTGTTACATGGTACATAGAGCAATATATTACCTTTGTAAACTGAAATAGATTTTTTAAACTTGTTGTTGTTATTGTTTCATACTGAAATCCTTCAAATCATGATAACCATCAAATAGATACTAAAGGAAGAAAAATCGATTATGACCTACCTGTTTTGTTATGCCCACTTTTCCACAAAACAAACATAGCAGCAAAAATACAAATGAAGCAAACAGAACCAACCAAACCAATGGTGATGTAAAAAGACCTAGATTGGTTCTCAAAGAAAACATCTGAAATGGAGAAAAAAAAAGATAATATCATGAAATCCTGTCAGATGTTATTTCACATGCAGTCTTATGTAATGCAATACGATCTTATCTCACAATTATTCCAGGAAATTGATTTTAAAAGTAGTATTACCTGGAACATGTATATCTATCTCTCTGGTCTGGTTGATG